CTCAGAACCCTCCACTGCTGCTTTGCTCCTTTTCACCTCCTAACCTTCACCCTCCCGCATTCAGCTTTCTATTCCATCTCTCATCTCCTTTCGTCTCCATCCCCGAACCCCCTCCTCTCCTCCCCCATCATCAGCTCCCTGATTCAGTCACACTCTACTTCTCATATGGCCTCACCTGCACACAAAGACCCATCTCTCTCTTTTATTGTGCCAGTCTATTGCCTATTCAGAGGAGCAGTACAACACAAATCAATCATCTTCTTCTAATGGAAAGTCCACATTAACATGAGAGGACACTCCATTTCCGTCCCAGAATGCCAGGTCGACTGGTACCTGAGCTCCAGCCAGTGTCGATCCAGAGGCCAGCAGTCACTCTCATTTCAGGTGGGATAGCAAGGTGATGCTGTCAGGTCCATGGGTTGCTCCAGGAGTCAATGGTGTATTAACTGAGGAAGTGACAATGGCAATAAAAATGCAAATTACCAGCCCAAGCAGTGGATGGCCTAGATCTGCCCTTCATAAGCTAGGATAATACAGTCGTCGCACCTGCCAAGACATGTGGTTCAACACATCTCAGACACAACAATACAATGAGCTCCAGGAGGGGAGGGCAGGTGTAGAGGTGCAGTGTGTGTCCAACCTTCAGATCCGAAGAGCTGTAGCCGAAAGGGTGCTTTCTTATCTTCAGAAGCCATTGTTGATTTGTCAAAGAGTCTCCATTATGTTAAATTTGTATTAGGTTTGAAAAGTCAATGCTCTTCTGCATAACAGGATAGTCTTTTACTTTTCAATCATTAAGATTCTTAAAGGCCGTCAATTTTAGAAAGAAATTACAATTGAAAGAGACAGGATAAGCAGATGCTAATGTTTCCATTGTGGCAATGAACTAAATTAGTAAGATTCTGAGGAAAAGTCTTTAACTCTTTCCAAAATCCACAAGAGGGGTAACATTTAAGAAGACATGAAGCATCTAACTTTTGTTAATCCCTTGACACCACTGGAGTCTGTGCTGGCCTCAGAAACTGTGCCTCAAGTTGGGCCATTAGGGCCCTGGGGGAGACGTTGGTCATATTTCACAACTTCTCTGCGTAATGGAACCAGCGACTTGGTCTCTTGTGCGTCACAATTACGCTCTTTTGATGAAGGAGACATCCATTGAGAGCAGGGAAAAATAGAGATAGTTCTATCCATAGCAGAAGGTCCATTAGGCCTTAAATCTAAAGGATTGACTGTTACAGTTGAAAGATGACAGAGCATTTCCAGCCATGGGATAGACTATGTTAGACTGTGCCCTAAAAGAAGTCAAACTATTATAGCTGACTGTCCTACTGCTGACATACAACATCCCTTAAGGAGAGCTGATATATTTGAATTCAGAGGGTTACAGAAATACCAGTTCAGCTTTACGGATCTTTGCAGTTTTAGTTGCTTAATAAAGTGAAAACATGTTTTGATTTAGATTTATTTAGAAACTGTTTCCATTAGGTGTGTTCCCTAAATCTGTGGAAAGTGAATGCTCCTAAAGAAACAGTGACTGACTTTGAGTATTGCTAAAATACATGCTACCATTGGCCCTTTTTTTGTAGCATAACATGATCTGGGAGCAGAACATGGTTGTCACTGGCCTTAGAATTCATGCTCTCAAACAAAACTCAGGCCATAACACATTAGCATTGGCATTAACAATCAAGCTAATTTGAAGTAAGTTTATGCAGGGTCAGTTGAAGGTAGAAAGGACGGTTTTGCAACCCGTCACCAAAGCAGTCAATTCGGGCCATATACCACTAATACACAAGTATTATTGTCTTTACTTACTGCCATCTGTGCATATATACGTGTGTGTGTGTGTGTGTGTGTGTTTAAATGCACATTGAATGCAATACTGGGAGCACATTTTTAGTTATTCAAAAACCTATGCACAAAAGTTTGAACACATCCATTCTCTCTCCAGGTAGAGTGAATTCAGCATGATGAGGTTGAAAACCAAATTCAATTTTATGGGACAACTGACATTGTAAAAAGAAGCAAGATTGCCATGTAAATTGGAATGTCTCATCTAAGTTGTTGAGTTAGTTGGGACTTTAGTCATTCAAATATACACTTTTTTTAACAATTTTTCCTTTAAGGTGCTTGTGTGAGCACCCTTTATGAGATATTAAAACTTTTCATTTGCACCTGTGGAAGCCGAGACCGCTCAAACGTGCTGTTTCTTTTATTATATATTGACTATTTCCGACCACTTTTGCAACAAATGGTCAAAAACTGTGTCATGACCACTGAGCTGCATAGAAACTTTGCTGTTGTATAGTTCCAGTTGCATGTTTAGGATTCTGCTCTCAAAAAATTGCCAAGCTGGTGACGTGTTGTTGTGTTTTGTCAATTCTAACCCTGTGTTGTCACACTACTTATCAGGTTTTCTTCTGGAAGCGGGTTCGTGAGGTAGACACAACATCCCACCCCATTCAAACCACAATCTCGTGGCAGACAAATGTACACTGTTACTCCCCCACCCCGTCAAAAATTAGCCCTGTTTAAGAAAAAAAAAAAAGTCACGATATTCCCACAGTACTCGAGCTCTACGCACAAGCACACGATGGCACAGACGGACCAAATGAGTCACGAAGAAAATTATGGTGACTAATTAATTTCAACAAATACAGATAATTCGAGGGAGCTAGTTTTCTATCAGCAATATCTCTGATTGTCACATTTTGTCTTTATCCTCACTGTCTCTCCCAGCCATCTTGAGATTACAGGCATGAGACAGATGTAGCTCGGTAAGACCCTTCAGATAAATATTTACATTTGAAATCCGACAAGCGAGTCAATCTCCAGTATGAAGAGAGCTGTGAGCCACAGACGACAGGTGGTGATACATTTTGTCGGGAGAGGCAGAAATGATCTCCTTTTTGCGACTGCCAGGTGTGACTGTTCTCTCTCTCTCTCCCTACACAGGCATGCTCCTTTCAGTTTTTCCGCTTTAAAAACAGCTCAAATCAGTGAAAGAGTTCATTGAATGAGGCACAAAGGAAGGGAGAAAAAAAAAGGAGGTTTTAAGTCTGTGTGAGCCAGCTTTCTGTCTGTGTTTGGATCAGGGGGGGAAAAGATGGGTATGAGTGGTATCATAATGATTTGGATATTGCTCCAGCTCTGTTGAAACATGCGCTGTCTGGGGAAGTATTTTAAAACCTGCCCGAAAATCATGTCTGGTCTGGATCATCAGCCAAGTCAGAGCAAGGGGAGGTGGAACAAGAGAAGAACCACCTGGGTAACCTCAGCCTGCCCTCTGCCAAGAACACCACCGATAGATCCAGCAAGAGGATATATGGGGTGAAGAGACGGCTCTATCACTTTTCTTTTTTTCTTTGTTTTTTTTTTTACTTAGAATTTGGACGGCACGTTTGATTTGAATCATTTTGATTTTCATACTTTTCTTTTACACGGCAAAAAACATTCCATTTATTGCCCATGTAAAGTTTTCCTAAACACAATAAGCCCGCTCTTAGCAAGAGGCACTTGAAGTTGTTTTAAATGTACATCGTGTGCAGTCAGTTACCCATCCGGTGTTCCTTTTGCTGAATCCGAGACTCGCAGTGACCTCGACCTGTATCTTTTTGTAACATTGCTGCAGCGGGCCAAACAGCTGTGCAGCTTGGGCCAGCAGTCCGTGGCCCTGCATGTTTTCTATCGACAGTGGAATTTATATGAGGGGTTACAAGCACATGAATGGGCCCCAGTGTGTCGGTTTTTTCCTTTTTATGTCACCTCATCAGCGCGCATGAGAAACACTTGTTTACGCCGGGCCACACCACGGCCAGCAAATAAGTGAAGGTGAACCAATTCTGTGCTGCCCACAGCTTTACCACGGCGGGTAGGCTGGGTAACTGGTGTTTCGTCACTGCTCGGTAGTCTCCAGGGGGTAAAAAGAGTCTCTGTGTTTATGTGCTTGCAAATTGTTCCGTCAAACTCAGTCCATGTAAACTTGGCGATTGATTTTTTTTTTTAGGATAGATCACATCTGTTAGAACTGTGCAAAAGACAATCCGCCTTGGCTTTGCATGCGCTCTAGACAGTTACTCCACAGGCTGATGATGGATTCGGAACAGAGTGAACCAGTAGAACCTGGTGAGAAATTTTTTTGTCCCAGTTCAGGTTGGGCCGAACGGGTTTAACACTTCGATCTTTGCTCGTCGCAAGCTTTTGCGGACGATTCTGTTGTGCTTTCAAAGGATCGGGTGGGCCTCCCGAGGCCAGATCAGTGGCTCATTGAGCATTGTCGAAGAAATGTTGCATAACTAATCAAACATTATATTTGGGTGAGCAGCTCAGCTGCGTCTGGACATTTCCTCTGCTGATATTTCACATCACCATGTATGTTCATCACGCTATAGTGTCTTTTTTTTTCTTTTCAAAATGTATCTGATGTGATGCTGAATGTATTGAGTTTTTAAAAAATCCCCTGCTGTGCGTCTTTATATCACTGATATGGAAAATCTGAACGTCCTCATTACGCTGTCATGAGTTGTGAGCTGCTCGTCTGCAGGAAGAGAGTCGGGGGAAATGCGGTCACGGTGCACTTTAGGTTTTTGGTGAAAGCACGGCATTTTGCTGCCATCGATCACTCTTGTCATGAGGATGGGTCGCCCCCCTTTTGCAACCAGGCTATCTCAAACATTTACCAGTTAAACATTTGGAAGTACGCGTCAAGTTATTTTCTACATCACTGACTCTTCTGTGGATTTATTGACTCATATTGTCATGTATAGCAGCTCATGCTCTGAGGAGCACTGTGTTGGTTAAATCATTGTCACATTACTTGGATAATAATGATCAACACGCCGCCACGCAAACATTTTCTTCAGACTCCTGAGCGTTTGGGTGGTTCAGCCAAAACGCATCGGCGTGCGTTCATTTCAAATGGGACACCATGCAGATGTTTAAATGTCAGTATAGAGCGAGAGATGAGTGAGCGGAATAAATCACCACACGGAATGATAAAATCTTTCTTCACATATATTTTATAACATTTTGAAGTACATTAAGTACATTTTAGAAATAGAGGCTACAGTTTATAAAACCTTTCCAGCAGAAGTCATTGATGGGCCAGCATCAGCCTTGTTTTTCTCTTCTTTTTTTTGTTTTACTCTCGCAGACAGGTCTATTCTTTTTAATATGAAAATGAAAAAAAAAAACATATTAAAACTTAAAAATAAAACGCTACATTATTTTGTCCTGCGCTACCTTTAAATTCCCATGAAAGCACCAGCTGTCTGCGTCTCTTGTCTTTTATAAAATATAAATTATTGAAAAATATTCAAATGTTTGTGAACTAAATACAATAAAAATGAATCTCATAACAAAATACAGAAACACTATTAAACATACACGAAAGAACAACATCCAGAAACAATAAGGCTTTCCTTCTGAAACAATTGTGAGATACACGTATGCCACAAAATATTGTTATGTATGCACTCGCCTGACTAAGAGTCTCTTATACATAAGTCCTGCAGTAGATTGTGGTCTCCCACCATTTACAATGTTACATTTTCCTGACGAAAACAACTTTTCAGAATATTAACATTTTAAGGAATAGAAAGATTTCTTTTCTTGTGAAGCCATATGAGCATTAAGACTTTACATTTGGAATAAAACATTTAACATTACGAAGGAGTTTATTAAAACAAATGTAAGGGAAAAAATAAACAAAACTGACATTTAAAAAAACCTGAACAAAACTAAAAATGTAGGAGCTTTGTTGTACAACATGTCAAAAAGGAATGAGCAAACAGTGCAGCTTCTTACCAATTCATTTGTTTGAGGTCCAATTCTATGTAATGGACAAGCATCACGAGTTTGAGAGTCAAAGCTCACTAATGAAGGACAAGCTTGTTTGCCAGTTAAGACTTTATGAACATATACAGCATCCGTTTTCTGCATTCAGTGGGAAACCCAAAATCAGAAAAAGAGTCTGTCCTGAAACCGTGTGCATTCCCAAATATCAAACAAAAAAGGAGAAATAAAAAAAAAAAAAACATAAAAAGACAACACTTTTCCAAAAACATGAGAGATTTCTGGTCCCTGTCTTCTACCCGAAGCGCTGCGGCCAAAGACCTCACATGAGTTTTGGTTATTATTCCTGCTTTGTCTCCTGCTTATTTGTGTAATCTGGGTCTCAATAAAGCATTATGAAATGCAATCTGTACAAATACACATCTCAAAAGCTATTTTCATCTGTATGGGTAACATTCAGCCACTGTAAACAATAACATTTTATTCTAAGATAATATTCAACTTTGGCATTTCCCAGTGTACAGCCACTGTTCCCACTGTTGGGAGAAAACCGCTGCCAATTTGCTTCAATGTAACCAGTGAATTCTTTTCTATGTGCTCCTAGTAGATGATGAACTCATACAGGAGTTACTCATCCTCTCCGCGCATCACTGTGCTCATAGTAGGACACAGACCTCTAAACTAAACTGTCCGCCATCCGTCCGCTACATCTCCAGCAAGCCAACCTGCACACTCCCTGTCTACAGCTCTCCATTATGCAAGTGATCTTCACCTACGATATCAAAGACTCCTTTCCGTCACCTTCATCCAAACCAAACGGCCTCCCATCCTTCAACATTTTCCATCGCCTGTCCCTTTTTCCTACACTGTACTATCACACCAACTGCAGCTGCCTCGTGATGGAACGCGTGCACTGCGTAAAAGACAAAAAAATAAACTGGCATTTGACATTCTGCAGATTTTATGAGATCACTCCATCGGCTAAGAAACACATGATTTATTCAGGATGAGACAGACATGACTATGAAAACAAACATCTAACACGCCGCTAACATGGACGGCGACCTGACAAATTCTTCATCTGATCTGCACATTAACCACTCTTTTTTTCTTTTCTTTTCTTTTTCTTTTTTTTTTTTAACCAAAGACTCCTGAATTTCCCCATATAGATTGTCTACAGTTTGGTAATACTGGTGGTATATGCAAAAATGCATACGTTTCAGTCATAATACGTGTCCCTGACAAGGTGGCAAACATGAACATAAAGCTGAAAGCGTCAGTTTCTAAAGCAACGGCTACTTTCAGTTGTCTTACAGACAGTCTGGGTATGAGTAATTTCCAACAGCTCCTCGTACTCCACAAAGCACAGGGCCCGTGGTCATAGTGTTGTCTGATTACAAATCAGCACATTTCAGCTAAAGACTTGTGATCAGAACAGTCTAAACCTGGTTTCTAATGTTTGATTCTACATTAAAACCCCTTGGATACAAAAAAAAACACGCTCTCTGTTAGGCTCGCACTGGGTGTTTTTTACAATCAGTGATGTGAAATGCTTGAAATTAAGAGCAAAAAAAATTAATTCATACCAAAGGGAAATTATATTATTACATAATGATATATAATAATAATAATATAATACTGGCACAAGCATCTGGTCCTTAAACATAAACTCTAAATGACACTTTTTTTGTTTTTTTGGTCCTAGCTGAGAACTCTCCTAGTCTGAGAGAAACCATTAGCATGTGTTTGTTAATGTGATACACTACCTTTGTTGGTTCGTTTTATACATTTTGGCAACCGCTGTTTCAGCAGGAAGCTTTTGCCTGCTCTCGAGTCAGCCCGTTTTTGTTTCGCACTCTCTTGGGTCTCCCTAAATTTGTCTATCCGTGCTCTCACCCATCCCACTTTACTGCTAAGAAACAGAACAGAACCCGAACTCGACCCAATAGTGCTTCACCTGCCTTGAGCTGCTAAATAACGCCGGTACACATCAAAGCACACACTCACTCGCACGCATTTTCTCAAATGCAATGGGGTTTCACAACAGCTTTTTGGCTTCTGCCTTCCTTTTAAAACATGGCCTGAGAGACAGGAGCTCAAAGTTGACAAAGACCACAGTTAGTCATCAGAAACATTTGGTCCGTCCAAAAAATTAAAATAAAATAAAAAAATATGGTTTACCAACTCTATTGAACAGTTAAGACCACTTTATGAGCCTCAGTCCCTGTGGCTCTTTAACTTTTCTCCTCACTTCTCCTTCCCGTGCGACTTCACTCATCCGTGTCGGGCTTTACGTCCAACATTGCGTGCAGCTCTTCGGGCGTGTAGCCCAGCAGGCTTTTTAAGTCACAGACAAAGCGGTACACGTAGCGTTTCCCAGATGTCTTGTGGATGATGTTCTTGTCATAGTAGTAACGAAGGCCACGGCTCAGTTTCTCATAATTCATCTTGGGCTTGTTTTTTCTTTTGCCCCATCTCCGAGCAACCTGCAACGGGCACATGGAACAAGCATGTCAGGGGAAGAAATCAGCCGTGTCCTAAAAGAAACGGGTGAAATGGCCTTTCCACAAAACCTAAAATGAGCCAGACACAATGGCAATCTGTCTTTACAGAGAAAACATCTTGTTCTTCTGCGCAACTATTCGGGACCTCCCATCTTGTGTCCCAGCGACCAGCAGGGCCGCGACCTCTCACCTCATCTGGGTCGGAGAGCTTGAACTCCCAGCCGTCGCCTGTCCAGCTGATGAAGGACTGGCAAGACTTGTCGGTCAGCAGCTCCAGAAGGAACTGCCACAGCTGGATGGGGCCACTGCCTGCAGAGCACAGGGAAGAGGGAGAGGAGGTGTTCATTCATCGTTCACAATGAAATTGTTGTGTAAACTGAAAGTATGCTCAGCGCAAAGGGATTGAGCTAATTGGCAATGCTTCCAAGTTTGGAAGTGCTCTTAAAATTTCAAGCCATGAAAACTTCTCCATCATAGGTAAAGGATCTGCATCAGAATAACCTTAAGGACCAATTGTAAAAAAAATAAGGCATTTAAGTCATTAAAGCACTTCCATGTAAGAGATCACAGATTTTTTTTTTCTCCCAAGAATAGAAAGAGGGCTATATCACAACTCTTTATGTTCATCACAGACGCAAAATCGTTAAATATTCATGCCCGTTATTCACTTAGGTTGGAGGAGGGACAAACTAAACCTTTTAATCTGGGTCAGGCTGAAGAACAGCAGTGGAACCAAATGTCCTCCCCAATACAACAGTCTCATTCATCATGTATTCCCTTGTCTGGCAGTTGCCCGATACTGTATGTGAATCTAGAGTCTGTGTGAGTTCCATCCTGATGAAATCACTATTCTAAAATAGGAGGCGCTGCCTTTAGGCTTCTGCAACACATCTTTTTGACTTCAAGACAGGCCCTGTGTTTCAGACAGACATCAGCTCTGAAGTCATCTATCATCGCACAATGGCGTGCATTTTTCGTGAATAAGATAATAACACCAGTGAAACCTAAATTTGAACGCAAATGCAACAATTTGTCGCAGCCAACAGAAAAAGATTAAAAAGCAGGGAAAAGAGAACAAAGACGGCCCGACAGCAAGACTGTTTTTTTAGTCTCTGAACTACATTTAGCGCGCCACACTTTAGTCGTGTGGTTTCTTTGCATATACGCAAACCCACCCACTTTTGTGAGGCTCGCATGATGAAATCACACCTGCCTATGCAGCCTGTCGCCTCAGCAAAGCTGGAGTTGAGCAAAAAAGGTACCTCACCCGAGTACCTTAGAAAAACCGAGCGTGCCCTCACACAGTGCAAAACAAAAAGCCTTCAGGGAAACAGACGTGTGGGCCGAAGACTTGAAAATGGCATCTCAGAGACCTCTCTGACTCTCGCTGGGATTGGAGAAGGTGCATGAGAGCAAACGCTCCGGATCTGGAAAAAACGTGGCCCTCGCAACACTGCGTGTCTTTCAGGCAGAGTGCTTCGGCTCACATTCCAAAACTCTAAGAGCCAGCCCACATGTGGGTGACACCAGCCTCCTGTGCCTCCATGCCAGAATGCAGGCGAACCTCTTAAAGAAAAAAAAAAAGGGAAGAAATTCCAAAAATATGCTACAATCTCCATTCACAATGGGTCTCATTGAAAAAGCGTGCATTGATGCAAAAGGGTGAGGCCTCGAGTTCACAGCCATGTTATGTTCACACTTAACTAGTCTTGAGCATTTACAGCTAAAGCAAGAAACCTGGGAGGCAGTTTAAAATGGTAACATCATAAATCTAGAAAATGATGATCTTCTGGCTTCCTTCTGTCTAAGAGAAAGGAGCTCAATGAGTTCTCACAGAAGTTCAAATAGAGCTCTACTGTCAGCACTTTTTTTAGCGGTGTGAAAACACAAGCTATATACTTGGTTTAAAGCTATCTGCTTGTTTTTGCAGAGAGAGGTGTTAATGTCAAATTATCACAGGAAAACCACAGAGTTGACGAGTGGAGCTTCACTTATCTTTGTGTAGCCTAATCTGCCTCCCGATCCTCGCTGCAAGTGTCACCTGTCACGGTGTGACTGGAACAGGAAGCCGAGCAGAGCGGCCTGCCATAAGCAGGTTTTTGGAATTAAACTAAAGCCTGTTCATTTTAATTTGCTCTTTGGGTTTTGATTCTGACACTCGAAAAACGAAAAGGCTCCCATCTTCGAAGAGCCTCACTCCTTTCTTGCAGTTTTAGTTATTCATCTGCATTTTTATCATCTTTTAAATATTCCCAGAACGTAAAAACTCAAGACAAAAGCTTTTCTCTCCAGTAAGAGGACACTATGGATTAGGCATCGCGCTCTTGGGGGCTCAATACATTTATAAAACTACTACATATGTGTCTGCCTTCCAGACATGAGTTGGAAACGCTCACACCTCAATGCTGATATATTAAGAATCCTTTCGTAGGCTTGGCGCAAATCCCAACTCTGTATGAATCATTAAGTTTTAGTCGGCTGGCTACAGATTCTACCAGGCTGCAGGTTAGAGGGGCTTTAGACTGTGTCCCTCTCTTCATTATTTCATTACATATACATTACAAAACGATTCTAACATTGTTACAAATGAATGAGTCATTCTTCTGCAAGAGGCTTTTGAACTAATAAGTGAAGAAATGACAAATTGAGTTATACATGCTGACTTTGGGTCAGTCTAATGAGATGTGATGTATGCATTGTTTTGTGACGCTGAGAAGTGCACTCGGATTTCCCCCTTTTTAATGCTAGCAACCATGAAGCCTTGTGACTGTAATTTAAACGAGACTGAAAAAGTCCCACAGAGTTGCAGCAGTTCAACTGTCCTTACAATTTTCCAGTCAAGTAACTAAAACACAAACCGAACACTTTGTTTTGGGACAGTCTTTGTATATTAATAGGAGTAAGCAACACTGAGGATTTGCCCACATAAGGCCAGAAACAACAGAAAAGCACTTAAAAGAAACGTTTATGACCAAGCCTTAGCACACGCTTCCGAGTAAAATGTTAAAAGTAGCAACAGCGGCAGCTATAAAACAAAAAAAAACATGACAGATGCTAAAATAGTGCATTTGCTTCAGAGGCTGCAACTATCTACATCTTACTGAACTTGTAGAGCCCACACAAACTTTTTTTTTTTTTTTGAGCATGTGCATGAACGTGAAGATGCCTCTCGAGATGAAGTGATAACTTTGTTCTGGTGCTACACGCAAGGGCAGGCATCATTTCTATGTTTTACCAGCGTTGCTAGGACGACCTGGAAAAAAATAGGCTGAGATGCGGGTGGCAGATAAGAAAGAGGTAGACGAGAAGTAAATGAAAGAGAAGGAGGAGAAGAGATGGGGAGAAAGTAGAAAAGAAGGCCTGAACAAGATCTGTTTTGTTTCCTGTGATGTGCATAACATTGGTGGCATGGGTAAAAGGTGTCTCCCTCCCCCCCGTTTTTTTTTTCTTTGTTTAAAAAAAAAAAAACGTTTTGGTCTAAAAGTGGTGCATTACAGAACTGCCACATGTGTGGCTTTTGCAGAGCATCAACAAGTGTGTCACAGGTGTGCACTGGGGATGAAACCAAATAATCATTAACAACATTATTATTTTTCTTATACTGACTTATTGATAATCCCTTGTTGTGTGTCTTAATGCAATCTGCCTGAAGAACGAGGAATGTGTCAAAACACTTTGGGTTTCAGTCCGATCTCTGCAGGCCTTACCCGTGTATCCTGCCAGGGCCGCTGCTGGGATGACGGGTTTATCTTTGCTGAGGTCTGAGCGCTCCCTCACGTAGTCTTTGAAGGTGCCTTTAGGTTTGTGGCCATGCAAGGCAGTGGGGTAGTCTTCTGAGTCAAAGCTGTCATACGAGGGTACCCGCTGTAGGCTGCTGAACGAGGACTGACTGCTCCACGAATGGGTCAGCCGGTCGCAGCTCTCGAAGCTGTCGATGCTCTCGAAGGAGTCCTGACCACCGAGCTTTCCTGAGACCATAGGACAAGAGAGGAGGAAGACAGAATGTTTCTGGTTAGAAACTTTACTCCGATTTCCCAGTTTTGTCATTCTTTCAAAGACGTGGGGCAGCGAATGCCATGTTTAAAATCTATGGCTCTTTAAGGAATCAACTTGTTAGAGTAGAAATGAGGCTTTGAACACTTTCTTCTGCATTTGGAACTAAAGATCCAGGAAAATCAGGATAAAATACATGCGTTTGCAAAGGGCTGAAGATATCTTTTCTAAGTTGTCAGTTATGTGCAGTCACAGTAGCGAAGAACAAGAATTACTCATTCCTCTGAAAATGTTCAGGTACAGGGACTGGACTAAATGTCAGTGGAAAAAGAAGCCAGTGTTCAAAGGAAACCTCTGAAAGACCTTCAGAAAACACTATTACTCAAGAAAACTGTGTGAAAGTAAAAGATAATCTGGCTCCTTGGAAACCATGCATGAATAAATGAGGGCTTGCTCAACACTCTCGCAGAACTGTCAGGAAAATAGGCATTTCAACACAGAAACAAATCTTAAAGAATTATCATCAACACCTAAGCGCTAATACATTCTTCACTGAGCTCTATTGTTCTCTGAATGTGCCCCGTCTCTCCATTTCACACTTAATTTCACTTTTACAACCACCATTTGGATTAGATTCTAAATGGAAGACAATCACACAAATTGTCTTGCTATTTTTGGCCCCAGGAAAGATAAGCGGAGTCTTTGAATGGTAAGTCATTAACAAATGGCAGATAATGCAGTGCCTCCAACAACGCCAAAATCTTCAGCTGGCAAAATTGAAGCCACATGTGGATATCAGTTGTGCTACAAAGTACTTTCCCATGTCGGGAGAGCACAACACATGATGCACAAAACTTTGGTATGCGTGCTGCATGATGATTTGACCTTAAATCTTGCAGGCAAACGCTGAAAGCGCCAGAAGGAGTCATGGCTGGTCTTCATGGCACATGCTATTCATTTATACAGCTGGGGATTTGTGAGAAGAAAAGCCTCGCTTTACAGCGATAAATGTAAACCTTGCAGCTAATTCCTCTATAAACCATCGCTGGGAGAGAAAACAAGCCTGCACATTTGCAAAAGCAAACAGTTTCATGAGAAAACCCCACACCTGCTAACAGAGGATGACACCTCTATCTCCTTACCCAGAACGTAGAGCTCGAGTAGAGGAAAAGAGGCCAAGAACAACAAGAGAGAAAAAAAATCTTTAAGGTTACACCACTTAAACTGTTTTACATAAGGGACAGGCGGTAAGAAGAGAACACATTGTGGCTTCGGTTCATGTATCACTGACAAAAACAATAGCATTTTCTTTTCTTTCTTTTTTTTTCCCAACCCGGCCTGTGTGCGAGACGGGTTTGCTGGAACCACAAACCAACCAGCGGGCCTGCTTTTCTTCTCTTCTAATACATTCACACTGATGTGGCATGACAAGATTCTGGTAGCTTCAGCACAAAAACACACAGGCAGACGCCCACAGGCACCTTCAACACTCTTACATGCACTCGCTCACACGCACACAGTAGAGGAAACCTCCCTTAAGTGGCCGATTCAAACAGAGAGTCAAGGATGCTGTTCAGAGGCTGCTGCAAATCTCAGCAACACTCTTCATACCTAGTTGATATGTAAAGCCCTCACCTCTGCCTAGGCGCCCCACACACATGTTGTCAGGGGACACCACCTCCTGCTTGACAGAAAAGTAGTCGCCCTGCATGGAGTTGAGGGTTGTGTCTCTAAGGATGACGGCGGGGTACTCGCTCTCATACTTGAGCGTGAGCAGTTCCTCTGAGCTGATGGGGTGCAGCGTCTGGTAGGACTCTGTGATGAAGCCGGGCTCTGAGTATTCAGAAGGAGGGACACACTGAGCATGTTCAACACCATAGCCTGGAGACACAAAGGGGAAATTAGTGGATATATATTGGAAGTGTTACGCGCCTCCCCCCCCCCAGTTGTCTAGGGGGGAGAAAACAACAACAAAACAAACAAAAAAATGGGATCAAGGTGGGAATCGGAAAGGAAGGATCAATCTTAGAGTTTCAGAATGATTATCCTTCCCGTGCTAAACTGCGGCTCAAAAGCCAGGGCTCTGAATGTGCCACAACAAAACATGGCATTGCAAGAGATGATGATTTAAAGCTAAATCATTGACCGGGCCAATACTGTCAGCCGATTTACAGCTGCAACATGGACAACGGTTGAATATTCGAGGGGGGAAATTATGAATGGAGGGAAAAAAAGAAAAGAAAATTGTGTTGTGTGCCAAATCGCCTTTTTTTGTAAGTTAGTGCACTACACCATATTTCTGTTTTCACCTTAACAATGCATTATAAGATATCAGTGTGACAACAACTCCAGTGAATACTTACTGACAAAATAGTCTGAGGTATAGCGGGATTCCTGGAAGTTGGAGGTCAGTCCATTGATGGGGTAATGCTTTGTATCCTCTTCATGAAAAATGGATAGAGAGAGAATGCGCATCAGTGACCTCATTATTGATTTTTCTTTTTCTTTTTTTTTTTTCTTTCTTCTTTTTGGGTATCGTGTAACTGCATCCAGGATTATGAAAAATTAATGACGCGAGCCAAACTGTGTTTTCCTGTTCGGCTCCGGTTACTGAACTAAATGCCTACATTTGGGTTCCCAATTAGAACAGTGACATCAGCCCGCATGGTGAGAGCTTCCTTACATCACACAGCTTTTAACCTATCGTCCATCAGCCATTCTTACCGTCACAAGAATGTGTGCGTTTCCTCAAAAGCACCTGTCCTTACCTTTCTGAAGCATTTCTAGGTGCTCCCAAAGGATGTCCCCCACAAAGTCAGGGGCTAGGTCTAAAAAGCGCTCCTTCCCCATCGCGCACAGGCTCGCTCCGTTAATGCCGAATTTGTCAAAGTCAACGTTCTTCAGGCTGAACTCGTTCACCGTCCATGTTAGCCACTCGGCCACGTGGTTCTCTGTCCACTGCCGGGGATCTGAAAGAGATCAGAGTTGGCGGTCGTGACATGGGCTTCTTCAAACGCTGAAGGACGCAGGCATGGACGCGGACGCTCGTCTCAATCCGGGACCAGCAAAGACAGTCCAGACCGCTTACTGATGCAGTGGAGAGGGCACGGGCAGAGAGGGGAATGTAAACAGCAGGGGTAATTAAAAGCTGAAAACCATAGCTGTCAGTTAGAGTACGATTACATGGAGTCGGGCTGTTTGCATGCAGCCTGAGGCCACGTTGTGGTGGCTTCAATTTGCATGCAAACTCTCCATCAGTCATCTTACAGTCTGTCTGGCAGTCAGGTCTGACTCGACTTAAATGCAGTTTGTTGGCCGTAAATCATTTCTGGAAATAACTGGGTGTCTCCTCATTTCCAGCCCTCTCTGAGACAGGCCTTGGAGTGGATGCTCCGAATTAGGCTGCGATGCGAAAGAATGCGTGTGTCCGACTTGTGACGCACCGAGGTGGTCTAGTAGGCTCACAACTAACTGTCGAAATGGGATTTTCCCAGTGGAAACGGGAGCAGAGGAGATACAGAGCAGCGGGCGGTCCTACCTTTGGGAATGCCCAGCCTCTGCTGTTCCTTTGTGAAGCCGCTGAAGGTGGCCTTCAGAGCCTGGGACATCATCTCTTTGCTTCCTGGCGTGAGCAGGGGGACATCTCCACACTCCGGATCTGCCAGACACAAGCGGCAAAATATGAACAACAATTTACCTCCAAGGATTACAGGGGGGCGTTTCTCATTTGAGATCAGAATCGCCGATAAGCTAACATAACACATGGCAGTAATTCTCATTGCCAGCTGGAGCTGCGGCAACGTGCCCTGTATTGTATTTCATGCCGATCAGGTTTAGAAGATGGAAAATTGAATTGAGATGGAGAGGTGAGACGGAGAGGCTTTTGAGAGTGCGGTTCAGCGAGAACACCATACACACGCATAAAGTCAAAAACAAAATCAGTGTAGCTCTATCGTGATCAACAACATGGCGCAACAATTACATTCCGTCTAGACAGCCACTGATCCAATCTAGTTAAACAGGACCGGTCACAGCTTTGGATGGGAAGGCTTTTTTACGGTTATTCAACGGCATGCATGGGGATTTTCAGAAGCCTGCTGTCACAGGTCTCTAAAAGTATCGGGCACAGACAGCGTGTGCCACTTTGGTTTGAAGCACACATGCACGTTTATTTAGAAACACTTCAAACGCTGCCCTGCTGTGTCCTGACCACGCATCCTGGGTGGGAGAGCAACGCCCGCTGCCCACCAGCGACACGGTGACCCCCGCCGGCCCTCCTGCCCATACACAGTGGCCCTACTGTCACAAGACCAAGCATGAACTCAAACATTCTGACAGGTCAGGGGTCAAAGGATGAGGTGACGGTGTCACTGCGGCTGCTGGCGGGGTGGCTTGGAGAGCTGAGTTGGGGGGGGGTGGGGGGGGCTGTCTCGAGGGTCTCCGTCACACACTGGGGTTACTGTTCTCTGCTCACCGCCAGTGGGCACCCAGCGGGGAACAGAGCTCCCTTTGATGGCTTTAAACAGTGCCTGATGACTCGCACTCGACTAATTAGATTGACCAGACTGCTGAAGTGTGGGATAAAGGGGGCAGAGCAGGGGAGTGGGGAGAGAGGGGTAAGGGGAAAAAGACCCCCAAGGCAACAACTGCAGGAAAACAACTTGACAAACACGCAAGGGATATCTCGAGCTCCAATCAATGGTCTCAAGCATAACTTCTGGTGGTTAATCTATCCCTACAGGATTTTTAAGGGTGTCAATACATGCGCAGAAGCGCTCGAGTTAAGCTTCAAGTTAATCTCTGTCTCTGTCAGTTAATCGTTCTGGACTGGCCACGGTTACGATCTGCAACAAGCAAACAGAAAAAAAAAGGCTTGGCCTAAAGGAAGATCAATTACGAGGAAGAGTTGCGTCACCCCACTGCCCCTCCTTTCGCCAGGCCCACATGTGCTGGCATCTCCAGCGGCCGGCGGTTTCATCTGCAGGCCGTACACTGGGGCAACATTCAGTTCATGCTTGTTTTCACCACTCGTTGACGTCTCGACCTTGTCTGGAATGCGCAGCAGCTGTCCTTCCTTTCTCCCATGTAACCAGGCTGTCTGGCTGTTTTGTAAAATTAGGTCTCCCAGTCTCTCTTTTTCTGTCTTCAGTTGCCTTTTTTTTACCCCCCCCTTCCTATTCTTTATTCATTTCCAACTCAAAGAAAGAGCCCTCAGAACAGAGTCTAAGCAGAAGACAAGACAAGAGCCCTTTGCTTCTGCATGTGATTCAATTAGGGTCCGTAATGATATATTGTTCTCTGCTACATTGGCGAGCAAACAAAAGTTAAGCATCGTCGTAGGAGGAATGGCTGAGAATAAACATTGTTTAGCAGTTTAACAGGAGGGCTTTGCTTCTGTCACACACAGGTCAGACATCAAATAGGACCTGAGGAAGCTTAAACAACAGACAGTTGCTCTTGCTTTCACTTTTAAACCGTGTTAGCGAACCACAATCTTAATGTCGCAAAAGGGCTGCAAGCCGAGATGGCATTGGGGCTCAGACAGTCTGCACTTTGATGTGACGGCGGAGGCGAAATGTGGCTTTTTAAAACATTTTCCAAAAGTTGGATCGAGTACAGTTTGTCTGCACTTTCAAACCGTTCGCCCCCCCCGCTCCTCCCTCCCCTTCACTTTTATCAGCCCGGCCCCGACATGCACTTCCCCGCACACAGAAGTGGACCCACTTTAGCGCTAAATCCTCCATCAAAGACTCCCTTCACCATAACGCATGAGAGCTAACATTAGGCGCTGTGAAGGCAGAAATATGTCAACCACGATTACAGGCCAAAGAATCATGTGAAATGCAACTTGTGCGTTTCTTTTGTTTTGAATTACCCTTTCCCCCTGCTTAAAATGAGTTTGAAGTGGGTTTCTTTTTTTATGTTTTTGTTGTCTAAGTTTGGATATTTAGATGACAGCAAAATTGCACACTGACTAAATATATTGCTTTTTTTAATGTAACGCGTTATATTCATGTGCACTACTTTGTGGCATATTTGTGAGTCAGGCTCTGATCTTAAAATTATGAAACAGAGGGCAGGGCAACGTGAGAGCAAAGTGGTAATAAAACAGCCTCCACAGTGAATGATCCATGTGAAAAGTTATCTGCGGCAGTGCTAATGTACAATGTGCATCCATTAGTGTGAGAGCCCAGCCTGGATCAAGACAATCTCTAGTAAATGATGAAGTCCTGATATGATTTCAATGCCTGCGAGTCCCATTAGATGCAGAATGGCCAGTATGCACCAAGAGTTAAAGCATCCACAAGTCATCACTTTCCACATTAGATGGTGCGGGTCTGTCCGCAAAATGAGTCCCATCCACTTAACTCCAGAAATGTGGGAGAGGGTGTAAATCATGGGCAAGGTGATGGCATTTACATTTCACCAAAGAAAATACGGCCAATGGCAGTTATGAAAGGCAGCCCATTTCTCGTAGTGATGATACATGAATAACAAGTCAATCTATTCTCAGAATCACTGATAAAGTGAGATAGATGCGTAGTCTGCATGTACAGTAAAAGGTATTGATCAGACACTCCTCTCTGTTCATGATATGGATAATGGCTAGGCTGCTGAGTGGGAGGATTATATACATGTCTCCAATGACAGTTGGTGGACTACTGAGCTAGATGCAGAGCATATGCTCAACTTTGGATGAAGGATCTCTTCGGCACCTGAGGCTGTTAAACTGTTAAATCTGCACCCGCCCTTTTCCTGTCCCATAGAACGAGGGCATGGAAACTGGGAACCTCGTGGCTGGGGCAAAAGTCCATCGGGGCAGAGCAGGTGAACACAGGACCGGGACAGATAGGATGGGATCATCTTGGGTGGTTGAAGGGTGAATGAGGGGGGCGGCCGTGAGTCACCAGACTGACTTCCGGGGGGGCCATAAAGAAAGACAGATGAATGCAGACAAATGAATGGGAGGTTTCAGAAGTCTCCCTCTTCTCCTCTCCTCTCCTCGTCTCTCTAGTGACATCACAGTGGGATCGGTGCCATCTCCCAGCCTCTGGTGGAGGCTCAGTTCATTCATAAAGCCTGGACTGCTGCCGCCTCTCTGAATGATGCAATGATCCAAACAGAGCAGGCAACCAGACCCAACAACTAAGGGACAATATGCTTTCTATCATGCATCTGATCTATAAATAGCCCTGTGGCGGTAACGAGGGGGCGTATGCTGTGTATGTTATGTGCGAAGAAAGGAAAAAGGAAATAGAATATCTATTTATTTACATGAACATCAAATGTGCCTTTCTCTAGACAGATATAAGAGGGGTGGGGGGGTTCAATGAAAAAGTGACTGTATGTAGTTCCTGTGGTTAAATTGAAACGTCTTGTGAGAGGTGGAGTGAGTTTTGAATTCAGGTGATAATTGTCACATTGTGAGATGTGCCCAAAAACATGTTTGCAGCATCAGAAAAATGTGCCGGAGAAACAAAAGGTCTTGGTAACCAGCCAATTGCTTCTAATTTGCCTTTAAAGCCTTCCCACATCAGAGCTGACTGCGGCATCTGGGAAAGCCCTTGATGGAGATCCACATCTGATCCCCTGGTCTGGGAGCGCAGGGTCATAAACCCCAACCAGCATGAAGGGGGTCCTTTCTGTGCCACACAGCGATAAAGTGGCTACTGAGGTCTGCAGCGGAGCGAGAGGAGGAGGACGGTGTCGGCAGTCTGGTTTAAATAGGGCTTCTTGTTCAGTCAGCTTAGCTGTTTGCATTTCCATGCCAAGAACTGGGAATCCAAGCATCAGAAAAGTCCTGAAGCCAGACCAAACCAAAACTAATGTCATGCTTCAAAGCAGGACAAAGTAAGGCTAAAGTTATCCATTTGTAAGCCAGGTGAAATACACCAGTGCTGAAACACTGGTTTTATTCTAGGACACTAACCGCTGCCTTCTGGCTGGCCTCCTGAAACACAAGCCTGCGGTGGTGTTAGGCAGCTGTATGCGACAACCACCACTAGTGCTGACATCTGTCTTTGGCCATGAAAGTGGAGTTGCCCCGGACCATCTCTACCACAGACTCACTGGCTACCAAAGCAGACAAAGAGTCAGACTGCTCCATCGCTGCCTTGCTGTCTTTCTCTCTTCCACTCGCTCCATTTCTAAAATCACATTAGCTTATGATGTGAAAGTGCATTAACTCCTGTTTAGGCCAAAGTCTCAGCTCCTGATAGGACATTGTATTTAGAATGATCCATCAGAAACTAAACATATCTTTGCAAAAGGCTTGAAGGAAATGATTGGCTTTCTATACGGGCGAGGCAAGTTGCTTTCATCTGGATTTGGCTCCTTTTCTCATATTCAACTGCCTTCAAGCTTTGTTCTCCTGTGATCTTTTAGTGATGTAAAATTGCCCGTCTTTAGGAAATGCTTTAAGTGTTTATGATTATGGAACAGCAATGTAGTTATCGCAATTATCTGCAGCACAAGACAATGGGGAAAGAAAGTAGCTAGCATGCTAACTTGATACTGGAGAATATAGGTGCTACTAGCTTTGCCGCATCCAGGATAACAGCCCCAACCTTGATAGCCCTCCTCCGCCGCCTGCGTCCCTGTTATAAACAGACATGGGATGCTCGGGGGGAACTGTTTAGGCATTAAACCAAACATACGACACATCTGACAAACAGTTTACTCTCCGTGTTGCATTTTTTCCACAAAACACGGTTCCCGCCCCCATTTTTAGTCCAAACTGACGCATTCCACAACCAGGTTCCTG